TCAGACAAACATTTACCTGTATACCAAAACAAAGGTAAGTTTACTCCCAGAACAAGAGTTCAGTGCCCTCTTTAAGTATGAACCGCTTTTGTGACGTTAAAATGATAAAAAAGCAATGTCATTCAAAGTAACAACTTTTGTTGGTTCTGGTCGTTCATCATCTAGAATGCAATTGTAAAATATTAAAAGAATTTTTTTTTTTTTTATTTATCGACAGATTACTAAATATCATGACTAAACTGAAGGCAGTTTCAACCGAATATTGCGCTATTGAGCACGAGTAATTAAATTGAATGTATATTTTTTGAAATTTTGAAATAACAATATTAGGATAATAATATGACACCAAGATGAGAATTAAAGAAATAATTTCACCATGGAAACCAGTGTAAAAATGCCAATTTTTACTATGACACAACATTTCAGGTTCGAAAAATTGCTTGATAACCACAATTTTTTTTCATTTTCAGTATCATAATGTCTAATATAATGAAAACAATGACAAATATTCTTTAATTTGGTCTGAACTGCTTTAACATCATAGAGGACATTTGCGACTTGTCTTATCAATAGTCATGACTCGCGCTATTTACACATAAACAAGCATGGTAGAAATGCCGCTACGTAAGGTTTCGCCTGAATTCATTCTACATGTGTCATAATAAATTTGCACTAGAATGTAGATGTATGTAGATTTTAGATTTCAAAATGTTTTTCTTTTCCTTATATCCTGGTATGACATTTTTAAGACCAAATAGTGCAATGAACGAGGCAAATTAGTGTCCAAGGGGAGGATTTTGGGGGCAGGTGTATGCCTCTCCAAGGATTGGGGCTTCTTGTTTACTGTTAATTTGTAACACACATTGTGATTGATTTGATTCATTATATTGGAGTATAGTTAACTCGCATGGTACCCATTAGAAAAAACAAACATGTCACTGAAGTCAAATAGCAAATTATTGACATATATCATTGTGAATACTGTAGAATGCTTATTTTTGCTTGGAATTAATTTCCACTGTTTTCGCTGAAGAAATGATTCAGTGAAAATAAAATTCTGTGAATATACCGTTGTTCTTATATTTTACATTCAACTTGTCGAAAATCAGTGAAAATCCATACAAAACACCCAAAAACTCTATACAGCGAAAATTAATTCTAGCTAAAATAAATTATTCTTAAATTACTATTTTTAGACAAAACAGAAATTTTAAGACTTCCAAAAACCATTAATCACAATCCCTTCCTTTGTGGAGAAACTGGGCTTTAATGTATTATGTCTGAGTATCAAATAGACACATTTTATTCTCAGTTTCTGGGTAATTTATGCAAGTATCTTACAAACAGCTGAACATTAATTTACAACTTGCCATACATGGTGTGGTGCGCCCTCTATTGGCAGACTTGCTATGGACGTTCCATAAATGTCAGCTATAGGGGGCGTTGTACCACTTACCCTTCTTGAATCTGAGCTGAGCTAAATCATATCTGCCGTAATCCCTGAATAGTATTAATCCACCTGGCTTTAGATGCTTGGATAATCTATTGAGTGCATACTGCATTCTGTAATAGAATATACAAAAACATCATGTCACATAGAATAGGTAGACTAATCATTTGAAACAAATATTACACTTGAAATGGTAAAACTATGAGGCACTTTGCAACGAGTTACATACGCAATTGATCATGTTCTCCTACCAAGAAACCATTAACTATAGTGTGTAGCCATAGTACTAAAATATACAACATAAATTATACACCTTTAACACAGACATGATTTTAATTTTTTTTTTTTTTTTGAACAAGAATAGGTGTCGGAACTCTATATGCAAACTATTGCTGCGACTGGTCACTGGTAGCATAGTGGTTGTCGCATCAGACTCATGATTGGTAGACCCAATTTCAAGTCCTACCTTAGGCTGAACATCAAAAGGGTCGACCCCTACCCTGGGTGAGTGTGCCACAGACTCAATGGGAAGGCCAATTCCACTGGCCAAGATTCATTCACTAACGAATGTGACTTTGGAGGAACCTTGGTTAAGGTCCACAGGTGCATGTGTTCAACCGAGCCTGGTTGATGCCAGGGTAGCGCATTAAAATTGCTATTTGATAGGGAGATGGCCACACAGCCCTGTCATGTAGTCTCAAACAGGAAACCACTTCTGTGTCAGCACTAGTACTTGCAATTTGCACTTACAAAAAGAAAAAACATTTTAAAAAAAACTGCATGCTTTTTTACCACAATTTTTAACAAAATCTGTGAAAGCGTATCTGAAAGACAAGCAGAACATGAAAAAAAAAATGGCCACCAGTCTGCCATTTTTAATCAAATCACAAAACAAAATGCTGCACATCAGTAACCACCACGAGTATCGGTAATGTCAATATCTAATTTGAATGAAATTAATTAATGATAATAACAAAAAGGAAGGTCAAAGTTCAGTGCTGTGACTTTACTAACAAAAATGGTCCCAGCATGTCCAATAAATGATGCGAGACAGAGGAGTACACAGATGCATGGATAGAACCCAAAACATATTAAGTGTATGTTTTACCTAAAAGGAATCAGAATTTAAAACTACATGCAAACAAAAAATATCATAAATGTGTAATTTTTCTCAAAAAAATGAGACATAAATAGTTGTCAGATTTTTACAAATAATTCATTGATATAATAAATTGAAAGCAACCATTCATACTCACTTGTTTGGATGTATGGCAGACAATACAAATATCAATACTATTATATCTAAGCTGTTTTCTGGGAAAGGTAGAGTGGTAGAATCATCTACAATATCACATACAAATGCATGACATCTGTTGCTATGGTAATCTGGATGACTCTAAACAACAGATATATAGAGGATATCTCATGAGTGACACTATAATATCAGATTTATGATACATATACAGTAATTTTCATTTGCTCTGAGCTTTTGGTAACTTGTTTATCTGAAGAATAATTAGCATACCGGTACAAAATTGTTGTTTTTTGAACATAGTTCAAGTTTATCTGCCTGTGATTATTGAATATGTTTATTTACGAAACCATCATGATATGTTCAGTTTCAAAGACACAATAATAACATGTTCATCATCTGTCAAGGGAACCCTTACATAGAAAATAAAAATTAAATCAAAGAAAGCTTAGAAAGAACTCCCATGTGCTGAGAGTAATGGAGACGCATTAAATATAATTCGAAATTACTTAGCTGAAAACTAATTATGCAAATCAGAAAATTAATATGAACAGATTTGAGTGTAAAACTAATGAGGTCTGCGCAATGTAACAGAAAATCTATGTTTCCAAGTTTAATTGAAAAGTGATTAGAACCAAAAAATTATGAATTATTATGCTTATTAGGGAATTAATATCAAAGTGAAAGCTTAAAATTGGTTAATTATGCAAATTAGGTAATTAATATGTACAGATTTTAACCCACAATTATCAAGGTCTGTCTATTGTCCTACAGCATCCATGTACATTCATTGGTATGTGATCCATGTACATTAATTGGTATGTGATGTTTAGTACCCGAGATATCAGAGTGAAAGTTGGTTAATTATGCAAATTAGGTGATTAATATGCACAAATATTTACCGGAAACTAATTGGGTCTGCATAATTCTAGATTCATTGAAATGTGATGATTAGTACTTTAGATATCAGTGGAAAACCCGAAAATTGACTAATCATTATGCAAATTAGGTAATTAGT